ATGCACATTTGTGTATGTTAGTGTATGTTATTGTTGTTGTTGTTGTTAAGTGCTGTCGAGTCATAGGTGACTCTTAGCGACCCTATAAACGAAAGTCCTCAACACTTGTGTGACTTTCATCCTCTCTCCAAGTTCATAGGGTTTCCGGAGGCAAGCTATTACGGAAGTGGATGCCACTCCTCCTTCCAAGCTTGTTTTAATTGGGAAGCTCCACCAAGCACTGTCCACCATGGGTAACCATTATCACATTTGATACATCAGTATCACAGTGTTCAGCTTCACAGCGACCACAAGTTACCTCTGTACGGCAAGTGGACATGCCAGGGCTATAAGACCTAGAAGAATGTTTGAACAAAAACAATGGAAAAACAGGCCTTTGGGCCTTTCAGTATTTTACCACTACGGCACGCCCAAATGCTGGCGACCTCTGGGCCATAGACCTCTAGTTCATCTGGCAAGTCCGCTCTGCTGACATACACTTGTGGCAAAAAGAAAGCCACAAGCGCTCAAGCCTTCCATCCCAGCCTCTTTTCCCAAAGCCAGAGGCCCCTCCCCGTTTGTATATATGCACATAAAAATTTAAATTTTAAAAATAAAAAACTACTTTTGCAATTATCATATAAGGTTTCTGTAAGTATTTCATGGATTAGAGAGGGGAATAGGAAACTGAGGAAAAAAAGAAGTTTAAAGACACAACTAATTAATTGTTTATATTGCCTGAAGCAACTTTTAAACTATGTTCTCCTTTCTCAGATGAGCGTATATTGGGCCCAAGTGATCATAAGATTGAAAGCCATGATTTCCAGCTGGAAAGGTAAAGACTGTTGTTGGTAGGTGCCTCAAGTTCAGTACAACTCACAGACACTCTGTGAACAACAATCTGAATTTTGCCTTATCCTTAACATCTCTGACATTCTTGCTCCGATTGCCACAGTCACTGTGTCAATCCATCTTGTTGAGGGTCTTCCTTTCTTTCCCTGACCCTCCACTTTTCAAAAAAAGATGTTCCATTTCCAAAAAAACAGTGAGATAACATTTTGCCCCTGCACCAAGAGCAAACTTCAACAGGACAGCAACCAAAAAATGCTGGTGAGGTTGTGCAGAGACTGGCACTCTTACTCACTGCTGGTGGGAATCTAAAATGGTACAGCCACTACAGAAGGCTGTCTGGTGCTTTTTCAAAAAGTTGGAAATAGAAATACCATTTGACCCAGCAATCACACTATTAGGAATGTACCCTAAAGAAATCAGAGTCACATCTCAAGCAGATGTATGCACACCTATGTTTACTGCTGTGTTACACTCAATAGCAAAGAGATGAAAGCAACTCAAATACCCCAAAACAAATGAATGGGGGGAAAAACTATGGTACATTCACACAATTACACATCACTGAAAAACAATGAACTCATAAAGCATTACACAACATGAAGAAACCTGGGGAATATTATGCTATGTGAAATATCTCATTCACAATAGGACAAACAATGTATGTAACACCACTGTTATAAAATAGGACAGACGGGGTGGGAGTGGGGGTTGGGCAGAGAATGGGAAAATAATGAACACTGCAGTAGAACAGATAAGGGAAAGAACTGTCTGAAAGGAATTATGATTAGGCATTATACGTATGATAACAATGTGGAACAGGGGTGCATTGAGGGTTGGGATGAGGGGTGGAGATATGCAACAATGAATATAAAAAAAAGAAAAATGCTCCATTCCACAGAATAGCCTGTCCTAACAATATGCACAAATCCTTGCCTCTAAAGAGCACTCTGGCTGCACCTTCCCCAAGACATATCTATGTGTTCTTTTGGTAGTCTGTAGGATATTCAGTTTTGTCCTCTAAAACCACAACTCAAAGGCAAGTGACTGAAAAGACCATGGGTTGAATCAGGCACAGTTTTGTCTTCAAACAGACATCATTGCTCTTCAGGAGTTTGGAGAAGTCTGTGACAGCAGATCTCAATGCAATATGTCTTCTATTCTCCTGACTTCTGGTACTAAGGATGTTGATTGTAAGAGATGTAAGGAAGATGAAGTCATTGGCAACTAAAATCTTTTCTCCATCTATCTTTATGTTGCTTATTGATCTAGTGATGCGGATTTTTGTCTTCTTGATCTTGAGATGCAATCCATATTGTGCTTGATTTTAGCCCAAAGGCCAAGAAGTGATAAGATGCAATCCATATTGAATGAATCTGTGATCTTATCCAGTAACTATTTGCAGTCCTCACTTTCAGCAATTAAGGTTGTGTCATCTGCATAATGTAGGTTGCTAATGAGTCTTCCTCCAAACCTGATGCCACATTCTTCATAAAGTCCAGATTATCCTATGATTTGCTCAGTATACAAACTGAATAGGTATAGAGAAAGGACACAGCTTTGATGGATACTTTTGCTGGACTCTACCCAGACAACAGGTATAGGTCTGGCATGAGCACCACTAAGTGTTTTCGGTTTCCCATTCTTCTCACGTTAGCCATAGCTTTATGCAATCCACACAATCAAATACCTCTGCATACTCAATAAAGCACAGATAAACATTCTTCTCGTATTCTCTGCTTTCAGCCAAACTCCACATGACATCAGCAATGATATCCCTAGTGCCACAGATTCTTTTAAATCCACCTTGAACTTCTGGCAGTTCTCTTTCAATGTACTGTTCTAGCCATTTTGGAATGATCTTCAGCAATATTTCACTTGAATGTGTTATTGATGATATTGTTCAGTAATTTCCACATACTGTTCCTTTCTTGGAAATGGGATAAATAAAGATCTCTTCCAATCTGTTGACCAGGTAGCTGTCTTCCAAAATTCTTGACACAGATTGCTCAGCACGTCCAAGGTTCCATCTATTGCTTGAAACATGTCAATTAGTAACCCATTAATTCCCAAGGCCTTATTTTTTGCCAATGTCTTCAATGCAGTTTGCATTTCTTCCTTCATCACCATTGGCTCTTTATAATATGCTGCTTCTTGAAATATATCAGCATTGACCAATTATTTTTGGTACTCCCTCCATCTTCTTTTGATGCTTTATGGACCATTCAATTTTCCCCCGTAGCATATTTCTGTATTGCAATGTGAGGCTTGAATGTATTCATTGAGCTTGAGAAATACCACAGGAATTCTTCCCTTTTTATTATCCAAGTCTAGCTCTTTGCACATTCTATTATAATATTTTGCTTTGTCTTCTCGGTGCCTTTTGAAATCTGTTCATCTCTTTTACATCGGTGATTCTTCCCTATGTTTTGGCTTCTCAATGTTCTAGTGCAATTTTCAGAATCTCTTCTGACATCCACTTTGGGCTTTTTTCTTTCTCCTTTGTCTTTGTAATGACCTTTTGCTTTCTTCATGGATGATATTTTTATGTCATCCCATAATTTATCTATCACAATTATCTTTGATAATTAATGTCCAATGCTTCAAACCTGTTCTTGAGAGGATTTTTAAATTTACATGGGACAGAATTAAGGTCATACTTTGGTACTTGTAGACTTGTTTTCATTTTCTTCAACTTCAGTTTGAACTTGCACATGAGTAATTGATGATTGTTCCACAGTCTGCACCTGGCCTGGTTTTGAGCTTCTCTAATGATTGTTTTTGACTCAATGATTCTTTCCACAGATGTGGCCAATCTGATGCCTATGCAGCCCATAAGGTGAAGTCCATGTGGGTCGTCAATGTCTGGGTTTCTTTAAACAGGTATTTTCAGTGACTAAATCACTGAATGTGCAAAATGGAATCATTCGATCTCTAGCCTCGTTTCTGTCACCCAAGTCCATAATCTGACTACCAGACTAGGAATTTTGTTGGAAGGTTCTTCGGATTCTATTTAGAGTCATTCTATGATTTGGAAGGAAAGAACAAGGTTAATTTTGCCTGAATGTTTGAGGTGAACCAGTCAAAAGACTCTAAGAAGGTATTTTAAGAAATGGTTTTCCAGGTGCAAATTTTATTTCTGTTAGCCCCTTTCAAGAAACTAACAAAATGCCTGGGATTTGAATTGCATCTCTCTCCCTTCCACCTCAAACACGGTACTTAAACTGTATCATCTGGACAGAAAGAGAGGGATTGGGAATCACTTATATTTTATAAAAATAAGACCCCACCTGGGAGCTGGAGGACTTGCCCTTTGCCACCATGAGGGTGTAAAATGCAATCAAGGGCATTCTGACCAGCTAGATGTCACAGTGGCACTTTGTCAATTCAACACGCAAGTAAAATCCTTATATAAAGAAGTCACTTATTATGGCATCTTTCAGCAATCTCGAGTCTTTTGTGCAGGCACTGTAAGCATCAGAAGTGTCAAGGATGCAGAGAAAGAGAGAAGATTCTATATGATTTAAGTACTTGTATATTTTATAATTTAAATACATTTAAGGTACAGATACATGCATGGTTTTGTTGTTGTTGGAAGTAGATATGTAACCTTTTTGCTGGTTCTGGTTTACTAAAAGGTAATCCGCAATCTTTTGCTTTCACTCTTGAAGTTGCTCCTGAACCTTTAAGTTATGGATATTAGCTATGTTTGGATGTTGAGGACGGTGTGATGGCCGCCACCCTGATGAGCACTGCAGAGGAGAGCCATAGCTGTGAGAAACTAAGGGGGCTGATGTTTAGTGAACTCTCCCCTAGGAGGATGGGAATTTGATCATTTGCTTCTTTCTATAAAAATGCATTGCTTGGCTTCTTCCCTCAAGTCTGGCTAACAGAGAATTCCAATTAATTGTGTTTCAACTACTTGGGCTTCCCGTACATGTATTTCTTTTGAAAATGTTAGAGTTGTTTCTGAAAATACCAATAAGCCTTATAAGAAGGGGACAGATAGTCTCAACCCTAAGTAAGACTGGGAAGACAGAACAGGCAGAGAAAGTGGCTCTTGGCTAGAAATGTGCATTACATTAAGTAGAATTTCCCTCTTCCCTCATGAAAACAAGCACCAAGAGACACCTTTAATGTATTTACCATCCCAGAGGATTGATTGACAGTACCTTTGTCTGGACCATGCCTGGTCTCTGGTCTCGCAAGTGCTCCAGGGTCGCAGCAATATCAATCTCTTTAGCACCTGCAACAAACCACAAATTGGGCTGAGTTCAGCGCACAAGATAATCCATGCAGCATCTGTCAATCTCCTGCTATTGGGGCTCCCTTTGGGCTCATGGGCCAATTGAAAATTATTACACTCATCCCTCAGCAGACGTGGCGGGCAGCTGCAATTTCAGTGTTCATATAGAAAAATAAGCAAGGGCGCCTTTCATTAGCATTAATTCAGGAAGGCTTGGTTGAGAAATTGTTGGAAGATGTTTAGATAGATACTCACCAACAGCGAATCATGGTTACTGGGAATGAAAGCTTTATTATTAGGCTTTGTATGTGTATGTGACATTTTCAAGAATAATGTAAAAGCACAGAAAACAGTATACAACCTTACTTCAATTGCATAAGAATTTTTTAAATTAATACATGAAGGATTAGATTCACTAATCTTTGGCTTTTAAATATAGAGTTTCCAGCCTTTTAAGCCTAAGCATTTGGAAAATGCTTATGGAAAGGGGGGAGAGGGAAGGTCCTGAATATTTAAACCAGAACTGAATCAAAACAAAGTAAGAGGCCTTAATCCCCTGGACTTCAAAACATACTATACAGCCATGGGGCTCACAGCTCAGTGTTGGTTCAACAACAGATACACAGACCACTGGGAGAAAGCTGAGAACCCACAAATAAACCCATCTACTTATGGCATCATGCTGAGAAAAGTGGAGGGTCAGTGCAAGAGAGGAAGACCCTCCACAAGATGGGCTGACACCACGATTAGAACAATGGGCTCAAGTATGTCAGAGATGCTGAGGACGGCACAGGACAGGTCAGGGTTCAGGTCTATTGTACAAAGGTTGTTATGAGTCACAGTCAATTGATGGTTGTTGTTGTTGTTATGCGCCATCGAGTCGCTTGCCACTCATAGCGACCCTATGTACAACAGCCCTAAACCCTCCTCTGTCCTGTGCCAGTATCATTATCTCTGACACACCCATCCTGATTACCCCAGTCACTGAACCAATCCACCTCATAGAGGGTCTTCCCCCTCCTGCACTATCCCTCCACCTTCCCAAGCATGATGTCCCTCTCCAAGGACCAGTCTCTCCTTACAACATGTCCAAAGTATGTTAGACGAAGCCTCAGAATCCTTGCCTCCAAGGATCCTCCCAGTTTAACCATTTTCAAGATGAATCGGTTTGTTTTCCTAGCAGTCCATGGTACCCTCAATACTCTTCTTCAGCACCACAACTCAAAGACATCTCCCTAGTCATTGTTCAACTCTCTGATGCATAACAGGTGATAGCAAAGACCATGACCTGTATCTGATGCACCTTAGTCTCCAGAGAGACACCATCGCTCTTCATTACATTGGAGAGGTCCCTAACAGCAGACTTTCCCATCGCAATACATCTTAATTTCCTGGCTGCTGGTGCCAAGAGTGTTGACTGTGGAGCCAAGCAAACGTACAAACTTGACAGTACATATATAAAATGTGAACAACTCAATGAAATGGTGAACAACCCTGTTATAATCTGGGTAAGTAACCCAAACATTTCACCAAAGAGGACTTCCAAACAATCAACCAACACGTGAAGAATGCTCATGATTATTAGTCATTGTTGTGTTGTTGTTGTTAGATGCTGTCAAGTTGCCGCAGATTCACTGTAACCTTTTGCACAACACAACAAAGTCCTGTGCCATCCTCACAAGCACAGTGATTCTTGAGACCATTGTTGCAGGAGATGGATTGACTCAGTGACTGGTGCAATGGTATTAGGTGTGTCAGAGATTATGAGGATGACTCAGGACAGGGCAGGGTTCAGAGCTATTGTACATGGGGTTGCTATGAGAGTTGAAAGCAACTCGACAGCATGTATCAACAATAACAACACAATACTCTCTTGTCTCTGCTGAAATGGCACTGATAAAAAACAAAATAAGAAAACAACAGAGGCTGATAAAGATAAGGGGAGTCTGGAACCCTGATACACTGCTAATACAATTGCACAATTGCACAACCACTAACATAGTTGGGTACACTTCCTAAACAACATGCCCCTGTAAACTCTGTGGACTTTTAAAAATGTTGATAGTTATAGAAAGCTTCAGACCTTTTGTTTATAGGGGTGCTATGAGTCGTGTTGTGTTCGACTTGACAGCAATCAAAAACAACAACATGATAATTTTGGCACTATTCAAAATAGCAGAAAGATGGAAACAATCTAAGTCCCCATCAACAGATGAATGGATAAACAAAACGTGGTACATACACAAACACTGGAATACTACATAGTAGTAAATACAACTATTTACAGTAGTATTACTGAATTATGAGTTTACCAAACAGATTAAAACTGAGTGTTTCAAATCATAAGAGTTGGTAAAAGTGCCCAAGATTGCATTCAGTCATCAGACATTTCCATGAAAGGCATCTTCCTATGACAGCATCTATGTTACACAAGCAGTGACTGGGTAACAAACTGAGTGCTAGCTAAAAGGTGGCAGTTCCCATCCACCCAGAGGTGCATCAGAAAAAGGCAATCAACTTCCAAATAATCAACCACTGGAAACCTCACAGCACGTAGTTCCACTTTGACCCATATGGGGGTGGTGTGAACCAGACCTGATGCAACCACAACAGAGATCCTCTATAAGGTGATGCTGTCTTCATGGTAATAATTACAAGTTCAGATTTAACTTTTTCATTTAATTTCCTTGGATACGCAGTATTACTGTTTCTTTTTTCTTTTTGACCAGAGATTGTGAGGGTGGTGCAAGACAGGAAAAAGTGTCGATTTGTTGTATGCAGGGCCATTATGAGTCATTGTTGGCTTAATGACACATAACAACAACATGGCAGACAGATAAGAAAAGCTCTCAGGCTTGCTTACAGCTTTCAGGGGACAAGCGAGGCACATCCATCAATACAAGTATTAGAATTTTGAGAAATAAAGAACAAGAGGGAACCTCTAATGTGGTTTAGGACCTACTTATTAGATGCCAGGCAAGTATACGGCCTTTTTTTGTAGACTGTTTTATTTTTATTTCATGTCAATATTCTGTCAGTCTGGAGACTAAGGTGCACCTGATCCAGGCCATAGTCTTTGCAATCACTTGCTATGCATCAGAAAGCTGGGCAATGACTAGGGATGATAGAAGAAGAGTTGATGTCTTTGAGCTGTGGTGCTCAAGAAAAGTATTAAATATACCAGGGACTGCCAGGAGAAAAAACAGATTTATCCTAGAGAAGATGAAATCAGGCTGTGCCTTGGAGCCAAGGATTCTGAAGTCTGACATACTTTGGACATGTTGCAAGGCAGGACCAGTCCTTGGAGAGGGACATCATGCTTGGGAGGATGGAGAGACAGCACCGGAGAGGAAGACCCTTGATGAGATGGACTGAATTAGTGACATGGGAAATGGGGATAGATGTGTCGGAGACAATGACTGGAAAAGGATAGAGCAGGGTTTTAGGGCTGTTGTACATAGGGTTGCTATGAGTCACAGGTTTCTTGGTGGCACATAACAACAATACTATGAAGGAAGAACTATTGTCTCCTGTGACGGGGACTTTGATGCTGGAGAGGATGACTGCACTGACTGGTGCAAGATAGGAGAAGAAGCTACTTGTGACCATGGGAGCCACAACAGCATAAGGCTGCATTGTGGGAGGTCTGAAGAGCAGATGAAAACTGCTCAGTGAACAGTCTATTTCTCTCTATAGCTACCACAGCCTTGAACTGGAGAATCAAGCCAGCGTTTGAATCTGGCTGCACAGCAGTCCCTCAACCATGGAACTGGGAGAATAGGTTTAAATATTTCTAAGGTTACCTTCATTCTTACAATTCTGTGATTACATGGCTTTATTGGAGTATTTTCTGAATGCCCATGATTTTTTTCCCCCCTAGTATAACAGTTTCACAACCAGAACCCTTGCTGGTAGATCATGCTGATGGTGGGAGGAAAGGAAGTGGAACAATGAGGTCACTGCAGATCATCTCCAGATCCAAAGTTTTTGAATTGGGAGCTCCTGGCAGCTAGAAAGAAAAGGCAGGGATCCCAAGGAGGCCCTGTGGAGGAAGTCAGTTCTAACCAATTTCCTTATCTTCATAAGAGGAAAACAAAGCAAGAAGTGTTGAGGATTTAGAACTAAAGACTGTTATGAGTAGAGTGGTGAGAAGGTCAGCTTTCGGAATCAAGCCGATCTAGATGATACTCCATCCTTCTAGGTCCTTGAACAAGTCTCGGGTTCCTCATCTTTAAAGAGAATATAATAAAAGCACATCCATCTCATGCAGTATTGGAGTAGTGCTTGGCATGCTGTAAGCTTTCCATTAATGGCAGTCATGATGATTGAAGTCATGATGACGTTCACAAGCTGAAAGTCTCCCATCTCCATCAACTAGACAATGAGCACTACTCCAGCTTGAACAGATGTATCAGGAGCCTCTACCATCTTTAAAGAATGTAAATTAAAAAAAAAATTAACTCATTGCCATTAAGTAAGAACTAACTCATTGCTGACCCTCGATGGGTTTTTCAGAGGCTGTAAATCGTAGAGGAGGAGATTATCCATTTCTCTCCAACAAAGAGGTGGGTGTATTTGAACTACCAGAGACCCTACCTTTGGATTCGTAAACAGTTCCCTACATGCCTTGAAGAAGCAACCAGTAGCCATTAAGTCAACCCTGACTCATAGCAATCCCATATGTGTCGAAGTAAAATTGAGCTCCACGGTGTTTTCAACGACTGTCTCCTTGGAAGGAGACAATCAGGTCTTCCTTCCGAGCCACCTGCCACTGAGACTACTCAAATCTCTAAACTTCTAGTTAACAACTGAGGGTGTTAACTATTTGTACCATGCTGGGACTCTGCCTTTGTGAAAAGGATGAAAAAAACCCTGACTGGAACTAAGAAGAAAAAAAATAAAGTCTTCGAAGAGTCTAGTAAGGATGGAAGTTGCTAGGGAATCCCGTTTCAGTACCTCAAAAGAGCACATGGTCACGTTTGCTTCACTGCTCCTCTTCA